GAATAATACACTGAAAGAGAAAATTAATCGAATAAAAGTGTAATTTTATGAGTTTTATCATACTCCTTTGATGTGCATGATTTTTAATGTAACATTAAATTAAAACGTAGTTTAATGCCGTGTAATTTTAAAATGGTTGTGGTTTATATGTCATGTAAAATTCCTTTATTTTTTTGCTGTGTACAACCCAAGCAAAAATATCCCATTTAGACCCTTTAAATGATTACACTTAAGGTTTAGAAGACAGATGCGAAGGATCTTTGTGGATGGATTGATTTTGATTGGATGTTCAGCTTGGGTACCCTAGCAGAGCACTTGTCACTGAACAGCTGTGGCTACTTGTATGTATCTCATTTCAGTCACAATCAAGTTACAGCAACTTATTATGCTCTATGTGTGTTGCTTGGGTAATATTATGGTCACACATCCTGCTTATTGTAGTAGATGGGATGAATATTATAAGAAATTACATTCAATATGCAAGAATAGTTCAATCAATTGATAAATTAAAAATGAAAGACAAATTTAATTCAGTGTATGTTACATTTCTTCCGATTAACGTACACTTAAAATATTACAAACCGAATATAGATTAAATTTTATGCATTTTATGGATTTTCAAAATTTACACAATAGTTCGATTAAAATTTTCTTCAAAATTATACTAAGTCCAAATAACGGAGTGGAATTCGATCAGTGTTTACTAAAATGATAGGAAAAAGAACATCTGGATTCTCTTCGGAGCTTCGTGCTGGCGAAGAGCTTCGTCCCGGCGGATTTCTACTGCGTCTGTGATCTGCTGGGCAGCTAGACTGCGTGAGCACAAGTTCATCCTAATGAACATCGAAATTGTAAGTATTTTTTAAATAATATTCATAAAAAATAAAATAATTTAAAAACCTTCCATCAGAAACAATTTTTATTTTTATTTGAAAACAATAATATTTACCATAAATAAAATAAAGAAGCGAAAAATACATTCTCTCAAATAAACCATATCGATGTATTATAAGTATATTTCGATTTTATTCTATTGCACGCATAAACCATTTTTATACTAAGTTTGTATTCTCTCCCTTTATACCGACCTTTGGCGTCGGTACGGAAAGTTGCAATTTAGCGTAACTTTTATAATATTTAGATAACGTAAAGACATAATCTCGAACGAGGCTTTCGTTTCAGACTCGGTTACAGGTTGTTCGTTACACTTATGAAGTGTAAGATTGCGATAAAATAATATTATCGATATTATCGAAAATAGAATGTGAGAGAAAGAGATAAAATATGCGACGTTGTTAGGGACAGATGAGTTCGATGGATTAACCTGAAATGAGTTGAGCTAAAATAGCACCGGCATTCTGTTGTCTATTGTTGCGACGCTTGCACGTAGTCTTTAAATCGTGCTCGGTCACTACACTAATTTTTTTTTTCAAGATATAACATATAAGGGTAATGTGCTGTAAATGAATTAAATTGGACTGGTTAGTATTTATATCATTATAATAAAATAATTCGATAAAGATAACTTTGACAATTGATATTTATTCAAACATTTTTATTTTTTATTTGTTGATAAATGTTCGATCTCGGGTGCAACTACTTTGATCAATTTGGAGTAATCATGAGTTACTTTGATCAATTTGGAGTAATCATGAGTTACTCAAATTTATTCGCTGCCTAAACATTAAAGGGTGATACGGTCAAAATTTGGTCAATATCAACTTGACGTATTTCTTTCAATTTTGCATTTAAAACACCTGAACACCCCTCATTTTGAAGGTGTGTGTGTAGAATGTTGCTCCTATTTTGATTTTGGAATTCACTCTTCAGTTGTCAAAATGCCGTCCAAGCAAGAAGAGCAGCGTATCAAAATTTTGCTCGCGCATCGCGAAAATCCGAGCTACTCGCACGCAAAGTTGGCAAAATCGCTAAAAGTTGCCAAATCAACCGTTACAAATGTAATAAAAGTGTTTGGGGAACGTTTGTCGACAGCCAGGAAGTCTGGATCGGGGGGAAATCGAAAACCGGAAGCCGCTGAGACGACAAAGAGAGTTGCCGGTAGTTTCAAGCGAAACCCTAACCTCTCTCTCCGAGATGCCGCAAATAAGCTGGGTGTATCGTCTACAACCGTGCATCGAGCCAAAAAACGAGCCGGACTATCGACTTACAAGAAGGTAGTGACTCCAAATCGCGATGATAAACAAAATACGACGGCCAAAGCGCGATCCCGGAGGCTGTACACGACGATGCTGACGAAGTTTGACTGCGTGGTAATGGACGACGAAACCTACGTCAAAGTCGACTACAAGCAGCTTCCGGGACAGGAGTTTTATACGGCAAAGGGGCTGTCCATAAACTACGTAGACAGTTTAGGGGGGGGGGGGTTGACAATTATCCACGGCCCATACAAATTTTAATTTTTTTTGTATGGACAATTGTCTACGCAGGGGGAGGGGGGGTCAAGAATCCCAAAAAACTGTCTACGTAGTTTATGAACAGGCCCAAAAGGAAGGGGAAAGGTAGCAGATGTTTTCAAGCACATGAAACTGTCAAAGTTCGCAAAGAAATATCTGGTTTGGCAAGCCATCTGTACCTGTGGCTTGAAAAGCAGCATTTTCATAGCTTCCGGGACTGTCAACCAAGAAATTTACGTGAAAGAGTGTTTGAATAAACGTCTGCTGCCTTTCCTGAAGAAACACGGTTGTTCCGTACTGTTTTGGCCGGATTTGGCATCTTGCCATTACGGTAAAAAGGCCATGGAGTGGTACGCCGCCAACAACGTGCAGGTGGTTCCCAAGGACAAGAACCCTCCCAACACGCCAGAGCTCCGCCCAATTGAGAAATACTGGGCTATTGTCAAGCGGAACCTAAAGAAGACCAAAAAAACTGCTAAGGGCGAGCAGCAGTTCAAGGCAAACTGGCTTTCTGTGGCGAAGAAGGTGGACAAGGTGGCTGTACAAAATCTGATTGCAGGGGTCAAGCGTAAGGCCCGGCAATTCGGATTTGGAAAAGCGGAAGCCTAACTGAAAATTTTTCCTGAATTTTATACTAATTGAACTTGAAAAAGAAATTTAATTTGATTTTTTAAATAAACGATTTCACCGATTTACACGCGTTTTCCCTTGACCAAATTTTGACCGTATCACCCTTTAGCTCTGAGTACAGGTGGCTTGCCCCTTGACGTATTATATTAAATATTCGGAATTTTTCAAAATATTTTATGAAAGTGGTTCAAATAGGAAGATTTTGACTTTTCTTCCCCCTCAAATTGATTTAAACTACTTCGTTTGAAAACTATAAACATTTTAAAACCTTTCCCATACCATTTCATGTAAAAAAAATAATTTGCTTCACCAAGCTTTTACACGTAGACTAAGTCTTATGGGAATGTACACGGGGTAAACCGAAAATCTAAAATTGCGACCGTCACTAAAAGGTGTTAGATTTTGAACACTCATAACTTTGTCATTTATAGATGAAATTAAAATCAAAATACACTAATCGATAGGAGATAACTTTAAGAATCTACGGAAATAAATACTTACGTTTTAAAAGTGCGCTCGTGTCACGCATCCGCATTCCTGGAGGGATCGTGTTTGCTTACTGAGCAGAAAATCATGGGTTTAATCCCAAGCTCTCCGTCATGACTCTTAAAATTCATGATCACTGAACAAAATGAATATGTTCTTTCGATAGCCAGCTATCGAGAGATTAAAGAAACAACAAATAAACAATACATACTTTTGGTTGCATCGCCAACTTGAGGTGAATCCTAACCGAATACCCTACCCAACCCTCCAACTCCGTAGCACTTATGAGGGTGTCGCCAAGTCGGTGGCCTCTCGTTAAGTAAGTACTACATCAACATTTCCTTCCCTATCCCTAGTTATGGTAAAGATGGGCGTGGCCGGGAATAGCGACAGTCATGCTTCTGTTACTCTTGGTTAGATTGGAACCAATGTTTACTCCCCAGCATTATTCCTGAAAGTAGTCTAACTGAGAATTTCAGAAGAGACGTGAGTGTCGCTAGTATCCAATCTATGAAGTATATCATAACAACGCTAACGTGTCACGCATCCGTTCATTTTCGCATCGGCGGCGTACTGAGTGAACAAAGTACCAGTAACACCAATACAAATCCCGGCTCGGTCACGTCCCGGAGGAGCCACTGTAAATTCCGCTTTTAGCGGAGCCTTAGCAACGAGTAGCAGCAGCATTGCCCGCAAAAGGGGATGGGTCTTTGTTATTTGTCTTCAGGGTATCAAAGTTCTAGCTGTTGAAAGTTTGGTATGCATTGAATACGTCACGCTAAATTTAGGGAAAATCAATCCCCCTGCCCCCTTTCGTTACTTTTTTCTTATATCTAATACATTACTTGTCACACAGTTGTAAAGCCCCCGTATGAGCGACTGGGATTGAAGTCTCCCATAATGCCACAGGCAATGCATTCTTGTTTACAGGAATTGAGGATTTTTTACGCTTCCGTGGTTGGCGTTTTGCTGCATGTGACTCAGAATCAAGATGAGATCTATTCCGGAGATGGGAGTTGAAAACTGCGAAGGTCTCTAAACAGGAAAGATTGTGATGGTAGTCGTGATCAAACGCATGTTTTTCGAAGTGGTGTCTTAATTCCGTTGGCAGTAGCAGTGCTGATCAGCAGTGCTCGTGAAAGGCTTTAACTTATTAGCACTATCAGTGCAAAAATGAAGCAGTTTCTAGGCTCTAGATTAACGCTTATGGCTGCTTGGAATAGTCTGTTGCCCTATTTCAATGAAATGCCCTATTTCAACCAGCTAGCTTGCATTTCTTTTTCTTAAATTAAAGACCATTGTTCAGATACAGTGGATATATATCTGGAAGCTAAGATAGGTCCTCCAATGGTACATTTAAGTATAACCCAGGCAGCTCAAACACATGGATCGATTCAATGTAAAAATGTTTATTTATAACAGTTAAAGAAATATGTACATTCATAAAAAAAAAGATCAGTAAAAGGGTCACGCCAAACTAGCACATTTTAATCATCATCACTGTCGGACACGTCGTCCACCTCCAACAAATACGTACTATTCAAATCCTCCACAAGGTCACTACAGCCCTTGACTTTCCTTATCAGATCTCCCCACAAAAAGTGGCTTTCGCAGATCGGGCAGCTTCCCTCAACGGGAACGTACTGTTCCGGTTCCAAACAGCGATTGGCCAGGCATTCAATGTGGCAAATCAACTTACACCGTGGTTGGACACAACGCAGCGCGAAGTCTTTTCTTATTCTATCGGAGCGAATCGGTCCGTCGCAAATCATACAATCGACACCCGATTGTTCGTCACTAACAAGCTCTATTATTGGATCGTCGTTCTCGTTGTCAGAGATGATTGTTATGTCATTATTATCATCACCGTCATCATCATCATCACCATCATCATTAGTGCCATCCGATTGTGGCGCCTCAGAAGAAGGCATGTTCACAGGCTGGTTCCGATTGATCGCTTCCTTCCCTTCTGCCACCATCACAAGCAGGTCATACTCATCCACATCGCAATCGTAATTAACCGTAATTTGCTTACTTTTACTGTTCTTCAATTCTACGTCCGACGCTGCCGTTTTGGGGTTTCTTTTGCGCCTCCGTTGAATGCCCCTGGTCGCTTTTCCTTTTTTCGGCACTTTCTTCACACGTCCAAAGCAAATTGGCATATGCATAGGGGGCGCCTTTCCTATCTACGTAAAATGGTGATATAAATGGAAACGAAATTATGGGTCTCGTTAGCTTTTTTTCGAAGGTTAAGGGCAAATTAGGGACACTTTTACCTCAAATTCACGATGAAGCTCATCGGTCAGCCAGCGAATTGTCAGCGGAAGTCTGTTCCATGGACCAATACGGAGCATTTCGGTGAGAATGCGAAAGTTGTAGTCGAAATTGCTCTCCTTGCGTTGTTTTTTCTGAAGTTCGGGAATTTGCTTCAGTCGTCTAGACATCTTAGGCTGCTGCCACGCCCATTCAAACTGCAAACAAGATCAATGATCGTAGAATTGTACCACTAATTTCTACAGGTTGCATGCAAAGGGGAAATAAATACCTACCCTTAGGGCGGAGATGTTGTTCGGAAAACCGTGAACTATCATTACCATCACCCTGCAAAGTATAGAATTACAAATTGATGTTTCAATGTAATAAAGCTGATTTATAAACATGACTAGTTAATTTCAAGCAATGGTTTGGATAAGTTGCAATCTTTCATCTGTTAAAGATCACTAAGGCTCTGAACCATTTGGTGGATTATTTTAACTTTTGGTTAAAATTTGACAGATGGAAAGTTATCGATTAACCCTGCTATCCGAGCGTGGTTACTTCTGACAGACAAGAAGTTAAATTTTGACAACCTTGGCTAAGTTCTGCTCGAAAACCGGTCGATCGACAGCACAGGGATTTTCGAACATAGAAAATAACTTTCGAAATGTCACTTTTAACCACGAGTTAAATTTAACTCGGCAAATGGTTCACAGCCTAAGGCTCTGAACCATTTGGTGGATTATTTTAACTTTTGGTTAAAATTTGACAGATGAAAAGTTATCGATTAACCCTGCTATCCGAGCATGGTTATTTCTGACAGACAAGAAGTTAAATTTTGACAACCGTGGCTCGAAAACCGGTCGATCGACAGCACGGGGATTTTCGAACATAGAAAATAACTTTCGAAATGTCACTTTTAACCACGAGTTAAATTTAACTCGGCAAACGGTTCACAGCCTAATAGTACGTTCAGACTACAGAGTTATAACATGTTATAGCGCTATCTTGATGGTGGTTTCTGTGTTGCAATTATTTGACAACCGTTATAACATGTTATAACTCTCCAGTCTGGACAGCGTTTAAGGCTGTGAACCATTTGCCGAGTTAAGGCTCTGAACCATTTGGTGGATTATTTTAACTTTTGGTTAAAATTTGACAGATGGAAAGTTATCGATTAACCCTGCTATCCAAGCGTGGTTACTTCTGACAGACAAGAAGTTAAATTTTGACAACCTTGGCTAAGTTCTTCTCGAAAACCGGTCGATCGACAGCACAGGGATTTTCGAACATAGAAAATAACTTTCGAAATGTCACTTTTAACCACGAGTTAAATTTAACCCGGCAAATGGTTCACAGCCTAAATTTAACTCATGGTTAAAAGTGACATTTCGAAAGTTATTTTCAATGTTCGAAAATCCCTGTGCTGTCGATCGACCGGTTTTCGAGAAGAACTCAGCCATAGTTGTCAAAATTTAACTTCTTGTCTGTCAGAAGTAACCACGCTCGGATAGCAGGGTTAATCGATAACTTTTCATCTGTCAAATTTTAACCAAAAGTTAAAATAATCCACCAAATGGTTCAGAGCCTAAGGAAAGTGGTGCACCCAATGGAGATGTAAGAGAGAGAGAGAGAGAGAGAGAGAGAGTAAATTCCCCATTCCAGAGCAAAACATGTTATTTGATTTTTTTTTTCTTTAGGATTTTCAATATTCATTTTTCAATAATAATAATAATAATTGCAGGCTACGGGGTTGTTAATGACGTTAACGTTTTCAATGGAAAGTTGCCGGCGCCGGTGGTGTATTGATAAGCGTAACTGCTTTCTCACCCCAATGGGTTTGGGTTCAATCCCAGCCCCGAGGTCGGTGGAATTTTGCTGATGCATAAAAATTCTCTGGTCACGTGCCTTCTGAAAGGAAATAAAGCCGCTGGTTTGGCCCATGTGTGTTGATGGATACGACATCCTTCGCAGGTGTGGAAGCTGCCTCCCTGCACATTCGATTGTCGTTAATTGATGTGCCTCGGTGATTGGCACTAGATTGCGGAACAGATACCGACGTTAAATAAATGGAATAAGACGAAGTTACCGTCATTAACAACCCTGTCCACAATATATCTCAATAAATCATTTATAATCATTAAAACCTAAACTAATCGACACACGATGGGAGCTAAAAGGCTCTCTAAATTAGAAAATAATTAAATGAATTGCCAAGATTGTTGTGGTTACGTGCAATAATAAGCAATAAAACAATTCTAAATCCTAGATTTTGCTGGATTTAAAATTATATATAACGGGTTTTCAATATAATGACACTTTACTAGCCTTTTAATATCAATCATGTGGCATAGCCTACTTTCAACTTGAGCGGCTTTTCAAATGACGTTGTTGTATTGCCACTTTAAGTTAATTATGGTTCGAATTATTACCATTATTGCTCCATCTTTTTGCTGCTACTCCTTCACGCCTTCACATCGGAACGTGGTATATGTATGTTGAATTACGGTTGAACAATTCTCGGTCACTTGATTATAGGCCAAACATGGAATTCTGGCATTTTTGGAATCAAATAACGGAGAGTATTTTTTATCCTTTGTGTGTGTTATTTTTTACGATTTTCAACAGGATTAATTTTGCCGTTTACAGGGTGTCTCACTCAGGAAAGAAAAATAAACCAAAAGAACTGTCAAAGCCAGAGCCAATCGAGCAGCGCCTATCTTGATTGCATTGCCAGTGTTGCTAATCAGCTAAAAATAGGTTGCCAAGGCAGTTTGTTTTGAATCCGCTCCTCTCTTATACTAGATCCTCTCTAAAGGAAACCGATGGGATGGTTTTTTTTTTAAATATCCCATTTCAAACATGACAAGGGCCAGATATTCGGTTCAAGCAGTAACCAACCAGGAGGTTACTATGATTGATAGCGAAGCGATGTGTTGAGGAAACTTTAAGCATATCGATATCAATTAGCTTGCTATCTTTTAATCTAGAAAAACTTATTGCATAATATGTGTTGCAAGCAGAAATAATTATAATTAAAATAGGATATTCCCTAGGGGCATCCCACTCTAAACTTTATATTTCTCGCGTTATACTCAGAAAGTTTTTACAAATACCTAAGATACCCGGAAATACTTAAAAATACTTAACCTATATTTTGCATTAGGTTTTTACCACCGTTGCTAAACACATTTTAGTTGTTTATTTATCGGATGTCGTCAAGGATTTTGTGTGAATATTTGAAAACTGCAGTTTTAATATTTTAAGCTTTAACAGCTATTTTAAATGTTTCTTTTTGTTTTGTAGGCATCAAGATATGGTCTTGGAATAAGAGAAGATCATTGCAAAAATGATTCACCTATAAATTAATGTCGTCAACGGTGGAAAAAACAGCCGCTGATTATTTCTCCAATGTAGAAACCGATTCCATCATTTTCGCATTATACCTGCACTATTAATTATGTCACACTTTGATGCGCATTTAGGATGATTCGTTCGACATGTTACAGGAAGAAGTCAGATTGACAATCATGGAACCTTTCCCTTCGTTGTTTGTTTGGTTTTATCGATCGTTGCGTTATAAGATTAAGTACTTTTCGACCGTTATAATTAGGCCATGTAACACTAACTTAAGACTCTTAGGGCTATCGAATCTGAACAAGAAGTTGTGAAGGTTTTCCAAACCATTCGCATTGTTCTTGTTGCCGAGCTTGTGGCATCTGTTTCATCTTGTAGCTTCCCACCGAACGTGTTTATTTTGCCGTAAAGTGCCTATTTTGAAAATTTCAAAAATAAATTGAAATTGTATATAATTTGAATTGAATTGAACATGATGGTAGGTATTAGCCACTTGTGCATGGTAAAAATATAAATTAAGATAAAACTGTAAAACACTGCAACATTTTGCCGAAATGCGCAGAATTAGGTGCTGCGCAGAATTATGGCGCACATAGTAAACATGTTGTAAATATGAGCTACATACATTTCCTCGGATTTGGAACCGTCAATTCTCATCTGTTAAACCATTATTAGAGCTGGACATGATTGATAAGCCATATCTGCTATTTGTTGAAGTAGAATTCATTTTTTCATTGATTCTATTAACTAACAGCAACGATTGTAAAACTTAAATTTAATCAATTTATTTCAACACATGACATGTGAATAAATAAGTATCGATTATTCAAACTTTTGAATAAAAACAACAAACCAATCAACTTCTTTAACATGTCACGTTCTGGAAAGATCGAACAGTATAAGTTATAAATTGGTGGCGCAAGTGGGTAATTGTTGTCTACCCACTAAAATTTATTAAACTGGATTTTTTTTAATATCCTTTGTTTCGTAATGGGTTGGGCATTTAGCCACTTGTCCCACCACTTTTCATTTACCCCAATGTACCTTTCATTTTTAACTACCGCTTCGATTCAACCGGGATAATCTATTTGCCACTACGGATCAGAATGATAGCGATGCTAGTGTTTTTGAAATCCCCAATCACCAGCACCTTGTCGTTGGTGGTTCCAATTACTTAAACTGGGAAATTTATGTTCAAATGAAAACATCAAGTGCAAAATGTCAATTAAACTACTTCACCAGTCTAAAGTAACTGTTTTCCAACCCGAAAAGCGTAATGCAATCAGCACAATTTCCTACTGTAAAAGGTTCGTTTCATCGTCGTAGTTGTATAGGTATAGCCAAGATTTTTTTTCTTCTCCATACCTTATTCCTTGTTCCTTATTTTCTTAGGAATCTGGAACAGCTCTGTAAAGGAGTCCAAATTCATAATAGCGCACTGGAAAGTCTGCTCGAAACTATAGAGAGATTCTAGAAGCTCTCTGCTCTAAAGCATCAGTAATTTGAATAACACGATTTTTTTACACTATTAGATAAGCTTAATTGAAAAACATATACCAATTATCATGATTTTATTGCAATTAAATTAGATTAAAACAGGAATTAATTTCATTTCATAAGGGACGAAAACTATAAAATTGACGGGGCTTACAACAACAACCAACGACACTAGCAACCGGTAACTATGATGGAAATTATGCAAGTTTAAAATACTTAAAAATATTTAAGAATACCTATGAGATATTTAAACGTATTTAATGTATACTAGTACTAAAGTTTAGAATGGGATACCCCTAGGATATTCCCAACAGTACGCAAGTAAAGGCAAAACAAGGAAAACCCCAAAACCTAAAAAATATGTACATCTTCTTTGTCTCTTTTTGTCTGGTTATGTTCAATATACGCAGAACACGAATAGTAATACAGATGCGCAAGGTTTAGGTCTAGGTCACGTGTAGGCGCACGCAGAATTTATTTTTGGCTTTACC